CTCAAAAAGAAGCCATGTAGCATATTTCCAAAAGCTCCCTTTTTTCTTTTCAAAAAAATCCCCTACAAGAAAATAAAAAAAAAAAAAGGACTACAGAAACAGTTATCAAACATGAAATAATTAACTCCACCTTCTAATGTACCTCTACAACTAATATTGAGCAATAGCTAAAAAAAAGAGAAAAAGTTATCCTAAAAAATGCACAAAGCATATCAAAAGATTATATCTTCAAAAAATAATTACACTAATCAATTAAAATTTAAAATCATCAAAGGGTTCTGTTTGTACAATTCAATGAATCAGCTGCTCTCACTTAAACTAAACTTACTCTTACATCTCAAAAGGCCACCGCGCCCACCCATACGGCTATACTCTCCTCGAACGAATTCAACAAAATTGGGTACGCTCAACTTGTCAATGCACAACAAAACAAAATATTGCTAGTCGATTATTCATTTCGACACACTTTCATCACCAAGAAAGCCAACATCTTTACAAAAATACACCACTCCAGAGTAAAAGACCAAATAGTACGTAACGTAAATCTTCAAGGCGCGAAAATTCAGAACCGCAGCCAGATACCGTTGAGTTCGTCGAGGGAGCAAGAGATGTGCTATTCGTAAAGGTGCCGTTTCTTCCACCACTACAATGCCCAAAACAACTCGTTAAGCAAAATCCAACCCTACGTAAAACTAATATTTTTCTTCCTACAATTTTCACATAAACAAATTTACGTTTGTTAAAAATTTCATAAAAAAAAAAAAAACAAACCTACCCAAAACAATTTCAAAAAAGGTTCCTAAATTATTCTTCTAACATACCCGTTTCCGAGACATTTAGACGTGATTTGACTTTGACTGATATTAGAGGGTTTGAATCTCAAAGAGATTCTCCATTGAAGATGAAATATTGAACTCGAATTTATTGATTAACGAATAATGAAAAAACGTGAGCTAATTATATCTCTAACTAACTATTACTACATTCTTATATATGCAGTCTATATTTTACTAATACATAAACTTAGATACGTGTATTTCTAATAACACGTTTTAAAAATATTTCTATTCTCAAATTCTTCCCCCTAAACATTTTTTTCTCAAAACGAAATGAAAATATACCCAAAACGCTTTCAAACATTGCCTAAATGTTCAGATACAAAAGAAAAATAAAAATTAATAATGAATACTACTTGATCAACCATATAAAGTTATAAACACGTATAACTAAAAACATTTCGTACCTCCCAGGAAAAATGCACGATCCATGACCTGCATCAATACAAAACAAAAATTTATAAAAACATCAACATCAACAATAATTAGTCGTTAATCATTTTCTGGTTCAATTTTCTTTTTTTTTTTTTTTGCTGCATAACAAAAATCTTGCTGCTGTACAAATTAGCGACAAATCAAACAAAGAATGAAATCGCTAATATCGCAACATACTCTGATCGGTAGTGGTAATAGTAGCGACTCCATTGAAATCGCAAGTCCCATCCGCCATACCCATCCTACGATAATAAGCATCAAACGCATACGAAGCATGCGACACCACGGTATCGGGCTCATAGCACGCCTGCCCCTGCAAAAGTGACGAACAGTCCACTTTCCCGGGCCCACAAGCCCAATCCAACGCAGCCTGCAGCATCTTCCTATCGGCACCTTCCCTCGCAACGCAATACGTCTGGTTCGTCGTATCGTTCGCCAGCACGGTGCCCGACCCCGTCAAGTGCAGCGTGTAAACCGGCACGCCGTTCGAGTCAAACAGCCCCCAGTTCTTCTCGGAAACCGGGCCCGGCCTAAGATCCTCGTTGTACAGCTCGTATATGTACGTACTTACAGCAATCCCAGGATGTTTGGGGGTCCCCGTGTTGTTTAGAACATGCCGTATTAGATTGCTGTTGTAAGTGTTTGCGTTGTCTGACGTGGCGTCCGGCTCGGACGAGTCGCCCTTCGACGGCCAACCAGATTCGGTGACTTGGATTGGTATGTTGGTGAAGTTTAAGTACGACATTGCGAAATAGGCGGCGTCGACTATTGCGTCGAACACGTTCGTGTAGTGGAGGAGGGTGTTCGGGTCGACTGCTTCTTTGTTCGGCGGCAGGGGGCGGAATAGAGCGTAGTCCAACGGGATTACGCCGTTGGATTGCATGTAGTCGTAGTAAGGGTAGACGTTGAGCATGAGGAAGGAGTTTGTGGATTGGAGGAATTGGAGGAGCGGGACCATGAGTGGGTCCCACGTGCGGTTGAAGAAGGCTTGGGAGGGTGGGAAGGAGTCGAGTATTATGGAAGAGGAGTGTGGGGTGGAGAGTTTGATCTGGGATTGGAGATTGGCGGCGACGAGGGCGGAGTGGAGGAATTTCATGGCGGGGAGGAGGACCGGGGCGGCGTTGGGGAGGGTGGAGAGGACCTCGGTGCCGACGGAGATGGAGGTGATGTTGGTGGCGGGGTAGTGGGAGAGGATGTTGCGGGAGACCCAGTTGGCGGCGGTGAGGTTCGATTGGCCGATAGCGAGGAGCTGGTCGTTGGGTACGGAGACGGTGACGCGGATCCCGGTGTTGGCTAGGGCTAGGAGCATTGCTCGGTCGGAGTCGTAGAGTCTGACGTGGCGGATTTGCTGGGACTTGAGGAGGGAGACTACTTGGGTTGGGCTCGGCATGTCGGAGAGTGATGTGCCGATGTTGACACCGATGAAAGCAGCTACAACAAACGGTGCGTAAGTTCAGATACTAATAATAAAGCACAAAAAACATTTAATTAAACTAGAAACATCTTTTACTAGTAAAGTTAATTTCGCAAAACGCAATTACAGTCGTATCAGAAATATATGCTTGCTAAAACTTTCTCAATCCTGAACAATACTATGGTGGTGTTTGCAAAAGCTTTTAAAAATAGATTATGAGTTTTTTTCCCCACATAATCTGTTTTTAGGTGTCTGCAAAACCGACTTTTGCTTTTGCTTCTCTTAAAATAAGTTGCTTTAAGCTATAATTTTAAAAGCACCCATGCAACTGTATTTTCAATTTAAATCGATTTTCCAGATTTTTTGCAAACACCCCCAACTTTTAGAATTAAGCACTTAATATCAACTTAACTCACAATCACTAACCTGTACTTTTAAATAAGTTTTTGCAAACACCACCTAAATTTAAAATGTTCACAGATAAGTAATTGATATACTACATATTCGTACGAGGGTTCAAATGCACAACACAATTACTATCCTAAAGCATCAAACACAATGTACATTGTAAAAAATCAAATGCATTACAAAGAGATACAACCCCCAAACCGACGTTGGGGCGACAAAATCCAAAACTAGTCTAGTCGAAATCGAAAAGTCAATGATTGGAGCAAACGAGTTTTAATCGGGCAATCAAACGAGCATTCGATTCGATGCCTTACTTGCATAACTCCCCACTACAAAATGTGGGTTCATTTACAAAACATGCCAATAGAACTTAACAACTTCAAAATCTCGATACGCGACAAACCTTCGAGATTCCCAGAAATAGGAAAAAGAAAATACTAAATTCCAAACTAGCAGCTGCTATCAGGTTCATGCTTAAGGAAATTAGCGGGAATGTTTAAATAAATTACCATTTCAAACTAGACTTCACTAAAGGATCTATATATGAAGTAATGAAACAACCCTTTTCATTTAACAAAAAAAGAAAAGGACAAAACATTGGTAAATAAATAAAATAAATAACAGAAGCAATCGAATAAGGAATAAATGCAGACCTTCATCAGCAGACACCGCTGCAAGAATAGCAAGAAGCAATAAACCGATTATTTTCATTTTTATTTTTCTTGTTCCAAATCCAAAGCCCTCTAACCTTGAAGAAAACCCAGCAAGAATATAAATTGTTGATAGTTCAAAAAAATAAATATAATGTAAATGGTACAATAGTGCTTTAAAGTATAGTACCAAATAGTAGAGAGAGAGAGAGAGAGAGAGAGAGAGAGAGTTTGTCTGAAATATTTATTGTCGTCTCGTCTCTGAATGACTGTATAGCACTTGTTGGGAGCTGGGTTTGTCAGTGAATCAACGGTTGAGATTAACGTTTGCTTTTTCTATTTATGCTGATTGATACTGAACTTCACTTTGGACCGAGAATTGCTCTTTTGACCTTGTGGGGTTTCTCCATGGCTATCCTCGTATATATACATATACTTGACATTATTTGTTGGGTAAATTACAACAGCCTCTGGTATGGTTGATTTAAAAAAAAAAATCTCTTGTTTTGATAATTATATCTATCACTTTAATTATAGTTTTTCTTATACCTCCCTTTTTACGGTGATAAATTCGACATAATTATCTAAATTATGTGAAATGTGCTCTAGTTTGTACTTGTTTTGTGTAAAAACACAATTTTTGATGCACCACAATCTGATATAAATAAGCCAAAAAATACATATTATGATCATCTTGATTCAAAATGTATATTTCAAATGCGATAAAACGGGTACAAAAGTGATAATATTCCATATAATCTCGAAGATTCCACTAAATTTGAAACCGCAGGGGTGGACGTATAAGAAGATTTATAGTTGAGGGTGGTAGTAATTACCGAAACAGGAGGGGGGTTTTCGTAATTTACTCATACCTCAGGGGTAGTTGTAATTTACCCTTATTCGTTCATTCATAATTTAAAATATTGTAAATTACACCTACACTCCTGAGGTATATTAAAATAACTTTAAGGTCCCTGTGGTATCGATAATTACACTCACCCCTGAAACGTAGTTAGAAACTCTAATGAGACAATGAATTGGATACGTTATTGCGTTAGGGTTCTAACGGACTATTAGTATCAGGAAGTGGTGGAGACAACAAAGAGCTATATACGGGTGATTTAAGAAATGTTGGGGGAGTCATGTCACCCCCTAACTCTATGTTGTTTCCACCACTAGCTAAACGTAATAGTTTGTTAGAACTCTATCGGAATAACGTATCAAATGCATTATCTCATTAGAGTTTCTAACTGTGTTTCAGAGGGGAGAGTATAATTATCAACACCACAGGGACCTTAAAGTTATTTTAGCATACCTCAGCGGTATGGGTGTAATTTACCCTTTAAAATATATGGTAAATTACGGCGACTCTTCTAAGATAAGATTAAATTATGAAAAAGTCCCTCATGTTCGAGTAATTACAAATATCCTTGAACTATATATATGAATCTTCTTACACGCTCACCTTTACGTAAATTCAACAGAATCTTCTAGATTCCGTTGAATGTTCTCTAGTTTATACCCATTTTGTGCAAAATTGCAGTTTCTGATGCACCACAATCTGAAATTTACAAGTCAAGGGATACATCTTATGATCACATTGTTTCAAAATATAGAGTTCGAATGAAATAAAACGGGTATAAACAGGAGAATATTCCACATAATCTAGAAGATCCCACTAAATTTAACACCGTCGATGGAGTGGTTGTAATTACCCAAATATCTCGGTTTTTGTAATTTGACTTTACCTTTAGGAGGGTGACTGTAATTTACCCTAAAATTTATGTGAATAATGCTTTTACTTTGATATTTGGTTTTAACAACACATTATTTGTTTATTATATTATATGTACATAAAATATACATTATCAATGTATATTATTACAAAATCTAATTTATACATTAGAATATTAAAGTTGAAATTTAATATAATATTAACTTCGAATTGTAATTTATACCGAAGTTAAAAGTGTTAAGAAATATAATTTTTTTTTAATAATTAATACAGTAACACAGAGAAAATTATGTTATTTTAAAACAAGTAATTTAAATATTAATTTAACATTAGTTTTTATGTTTTTTTATAATAGTTAATATATAAATTATTTTTTATTTGATATTATTAATTTACAAAATATTAATTCAATAATAAATATTAAGTTGTACAACTGTATCAAACAAAAATTGAAATATTTGATATAATTAATGTAATAATGAAATAGTAACTTTTAATCATAATCAGTTACATATACATATTTGTACTTAGTATATGATTGTGTTTAAATAAATAAATAAAGGACAAATGAGAAAAAGGATATGACAGTGATCTTAAATGCACATTGGTAAAAAAAGACAGTCTTTAAAGTTAAACTCATTTCTATGGCTTTATTTAAAAATACCCTCCATAATATATTTTTGTCAATCCATTTATTATACTTTGACTTCCTTAATATTACACAGTGACTCCGAATTTAAACAAATATATCACATTAACCCCTATTTTAATAATTCTTTGAAAAAATATTTTTTTCTGAAATTCTTTTTTTTTCGGCCAGATTCCGGCGTTGACTTTTGAAATTTATTTTTTTATGAATTTTTTTTCCGCTGGTCAGCCGACGTTGACTTTTTTTTTTTTTTCCTTAAAAAAATACTTTAATTTATATTACTGTCTTGCTGTTAATTACTGTCTCAGACAATAATATTACTGTTTGGGACAGTAATATTATGAATATTATTTTTCTGAACAGTAATATTACGAATATTATTGTCCCAAACAGTAATATTATTGCATGAGACAGTAATATTGCGGTCGGAGACATTAATATTACAGTCGAAGACAGCAAAAATGCAGGCCAAGACGATAAATTAATTAATACAGTCTCAGACAGTTAAATTACTGTCGGAGATAGTAATTTAGCAGCCAATACAGTAATATTAATTAAAATACTTTTTTTTAAGAAAAACAAAATTTCAAAAAAAAAAAGAAAAAAAAAATCAGTTAACAGTTAAATTACTGTCTCGACAGTTAAATAACTGCTAGAGACGGTAATTTAGCAGCCAAAACAGTAATATTAATTAAAATATTATTTTTAAGAAAAAAAAAAGTCAATTAACAGTTAAATTATTGTTTCTGACAGTTAAACAACTGCTGGAGACAGTAATTTAGCAGCCAAGACAGTAATATTAATTAAAATACTATTTAAGAAAAAAAAAGTTCAATTAACAGTTAAATTACTGTCTCCGACATTTAAATAACTGCTGGAGATAGTAATTTAGCAGTCAAGACAGTAATATTAATTAACATATTTTTTTTAAGAAAAAAAATTATATAAAAAAAAAAAAGTCAACGTCGGAGACCCGGCGATCGACCTACTGGAAAAAAAATTCAAAAAAAAAAAGAAAAAAAAAATCAACGCCGGAGACCGGCGGCGATCAACGGCGGCTGACCGACGTCTCCGATGGTGGCGGGTCAAAATTGGTTAATTGGTGAAATTGGACTAAATTGGGGTGTAAATCATGAAATTGGAGTTAAATTGGGTCTCAAGGAATTGTGGGTAATTTTAGTATATATAAAAAAGTTTTCGTTTTTACAAATAAGTTTAAATGAGCTGGAAATATTTGAAACATAAAAAAGTTGGATGTCGTTTTTTTTTTTATTGAAGTGTCCTTATCAGTTATCATGGACCTTTGTTAGATGAACCCATAAATAAAATATATGATATTATTTAGGGGCTCTTTGAGAAAACCCCCTCACTACTTTTTTTAATTGAGGGAGGCCCAAAATATTTTAGACCATTTGAGAAAAGCCCATGATCCAATTCAGCCATTGTGTTTCCCAGTTTTACCCCCGCCCGCCACCTCATCACAGTTGGGCACGCGCTCCAGCGATTTTTTTTTTTTCCGTTTTTTTAATCGACTATGAAGTATAGTCGATTAGTCTTAAATCGACTATGCTTCATAGTCAATTAAGTAAAATCTTTAATTTTTTAATTTTTTTTTTGTTTCTAATTTTTTTTTTTTTTTTTTTTGGTTTTTTTTTTCTCTATCAGGTTTATTAATGCATAGTCGATTAAAATTTTAGCTATTAAAAATAACAAATCATAATTACAAAAAAAAATGCAAAATCAACTATATTAAAAAAAAATATACAAACATTGTAATTGATTTATACATTGGAATCAATAAACAAAAAATCAAAAAAAAATAAAAAAAA